CACTGAGCTGCAGCTCTGGAGGAAATCCCCCGCTGCAATCGGCTTCAGCGCCTCGGCATGGGTTGGGATCGGCACCGTGGCTGAAGGTACGGTGAGAGTTGGCCAACTCGAAGGGGCATTCACCACATGCACCGGGGCACCACCTGACGTCGCCGCAGATGTCCTCGAGTTCACACTGGAGGTCGTTGGCTACCGTGAGCGCTATTATGGCCAACTGAAGCAATTCCGGGACAGCGTCGTGGTGCGCTATCATTTTAGACCCCACCCGTTAGAACGTGATGCGTCACGGTGTACTCGTTTTGGAGTTGAGGCGGGTGATTTGCTACGTGTGCAGGGGAACTACGCGCTCCATGAGAGCTTTGATGTCATATCGAAACGACTTGTTGAGCACGTGGTTGTGGAAGCTGACATGATTGGAGTGTTGCGCACGGCTTCGATGGCCCTGTCCGGGGATTCATCAAACCCAGCTCCTACACACAAAAAGGGATCAATGTAGATCCGGCTGTGTCTTCACCGCTACTAAATCAAGAGGTGTATTTATTCTCTAAATTTGTTAAACGAAAATTAATAGCGATGGTTGGAAAAGGAGGTAAGGATGAAGGAATGTAAAAATGGCATCTAAGGTAATTTAAAGTATGATTTCGAATATTATTCAGATTTTTGGAAATTCTCAAAGAGAGCTTATCCGCCTTCTGTGTGTAGGTCGTGAAAGAGTATTCCCTTTGAAAGAAAAGCGTAATCGAAATGTATTACATTCTTTAGGTTTATGGCAGACTTCTCTATATTTGTAAACCCAAAGGTTTACTTGCATGTACATCTACACATTTGATATCTATAGAGTTTTCATTGATGAAAAGCGAAGTAATTTTAGATTATATGGATAATGTGCCTTCTTTCCATTCTCTTATTTCCTTCTACTTGGATACCTCTAATGTATGGGTTAGATGGCTGTGACCTTTCTCAAATTTGATTATAGCTTATTTGTGTTCTAATGAAAATCATAAGAGGTCACAAAAAAAAGGTTGTCGTGGGCATCAAAATTATATAACACTATCTCCTTTATTAGTTTATTCATAGTTAAATTCGTTTGCTTGTTTTGAAAGGAAAACTTTCTGTCAAGACAACATGCTTTTTAATGTACTAAATCGACATACTCGTGTTTATTATGGTGACAAGCATTACTCCAAGCAGCACAAAAGTGTTCGGTCCCTAAGAAAGTTTGTTGAATTTCTGGATCAACGGCATAGTTCCATCTCGATATTTGGTCTTCTATTGCACAGCTTAATGGAAATAACCTCCGTAGTGATCTACATTTGGGTGCTGCAAATTAACCGCAGTCAGAATATAAAAAAATTCACATGGGGGACGTCGATGTTCAATGTGGAAGTCATCCTTAATATCATTTTCTTCCTGGAATGGATTTTGCTCTTCTTTCTCGAGGAAGACAAAAAACAATACTTTTTCTCCTGGCTTTCGTTTGTGAACGTCATGACAAGCGTTCCGATGATCGTATTGGGCGTTGGAGCGATATTCGATAGCAACTATCGGCATGGGTGGGTACCTATGTATCTTCGAGTGTGGTGGATCAATAATTGCTTGTGCATATTGCTAGACTATCCACAAATTGTATATTTTATGGTGGATATCTACCGTGAAACATGTCGCTTCTTTTCGCGCCTTTTAGCAGTTATTTTCACCTGTATTGGGACCTTTCAGATGGTTCAGAGCTGCACGGGAGACTACATCGATTTATTCGATTCCAGCTACCTCATGATTGTGACCTTCGACACTTTGGGCTATGGGGATACATTCCCTAGTACAACCCCATCACGCCTTTTAATGACGGTTCTTGTACTCATCGGCATCAGCTACTTCCTTCCACTCTTCCAGCGTCTGGCGCTGATCGGGGAAAAGCGGCAGTACTACCGAACCTACAAATCGGGGTGGCTTCGGTCGTCGCATAAACATGTGGTGATCTGTGGTGAGTTTAGTGATCTTGGGTTCGATATTTTGATTCGAAACTTCTATTCGGGATGGCGCAAATACCTGAGCACGTGTATTGTGTTTATGTTCCCAAAAGCGTACTCCGCGGAGGTCCAACTGACCGCCAACCTGCCATGGTATAAGGGGCGTGTCCACCTCATGGTTGGCGACCCCACCAAAGAGGTTGATCTGCGCCGTGCAGGGGCGAAATCCGCAGACGCGATCTTTTTATTTGGGAATACGCGATCTGCCGCTTATTATCGGGATTACGACATTATCGAACAATCCCTGGCGGTGGGTCTTTTCGACCTCGAGTTGCCCCAACTCCTCATGCTGCGCCGCAGCCGAACGATGAAGCAAATCGCGCCCTACGCCGCAAGTGCGTTGGAGATTGAGCGCACCGTGCACCACCTTCTTGGATTATCCATGGTAAATCCCGGTATTATCCCGTTTATTATTAATTTAATGAACACGTACGAGCCGATGTCGCTCGATATGCCGCACGCCTGTCATTGGATCGAGCAGTACGAGTACTCGATCCGAAATGATTTGTACGATATCGATGTAGTGGACACCCTGCGCGGGCGTGAATTCCGTACCTTAGCTCGCTCCTTTTTTGAATACGACATCACACTTATCGGCGTCCTCGATGCGCATTACACAGTCAAGTTGAACCCTATCGAAGTGATCCCAAACGCGAAGAAGCTCCTCCTGATCGCAAGATCCATGAAAGCGGTCCATGACGCCACGGCCGCGATCTCGAGTGATTTCGAGCAGACCTTTGGGGAGGAAATGTTGATGGCTCTCAGTCCTAATGAGCGTGCAAGGGCAAAGAATGGATTCAAACCTAATTCTCAGCGCACGTACCAGGAATGGGACTCCAAAACCCCTTCGCCCAACGATCAAGCCAGCGATGATTTCGATCATTATGATCATTGCGGTGATACGATGCCGTACGCATCGAATTTAGCGGTAGGAAATGCCCAAAGTTCAGCGCGAAAGCCGCACTGCAACAAAAACGCCAACCTCAACAAAGAAACCGAATGTCTGCTTCGCATAAATGACGCTTTTGGATGTGAAAAGCACTTTCTGATGATTGATCTGTCTTCGGCGAAAGGCAAAGATAATACGACGCGCTATGCATTAGAAAGTCACCTGGCCGCCCTTGCGCATGACGTGTATTCCGTCATGCGCCCTATTCGTCAGGTCTATCCTCAGAGCGACATTATTTTGCTGACCAATGATGTAAGTTTTGCACCCTACTTTACCGATGTCTGGGGGTTTAATGAAGAAGCGGGCCCGTTGAAGTACATTCTAGGTTGTGGCCTGAATACGACGGAGCTGATGCGCTGCAATCTTCAGGAATGTGCAGGGTGTTGTATCTTTTTCGCGGGGGATATCAGCCGCGAGGGCTCAACCGCTGCGATGTCCATGCTGGTTGTCCTCTCAATCCATAATATCCTCAATGGAGCACCACCCTTTCCGGTCGTGGTGGAGCTCGAAGGCCTAATCAACCTCTCTCTTTTCCCTCCGGTCGCCGAGGATGCTGAACTTCGGTCAAAGGCAAGGATGGATATTGTATTTGAGCCAAACTTTTTAATTGGCAATGCTATCAGTCGGGAGATGCTACTCCCAGCTCTACAGCGAACGTACTTTATGGAGGAGTTTATTGATGTGATGAATGCAATGATCAATGGGTATGCAAACAACCAACCCACCCTATCGCAGCTTTCACTAAGCATGTGCGTGGTGGAGCTTGGAACCTACGAAGACGTCATTAACTACTGTCTGAGAGCAGGCTTTTTACCCATTGCGCTCTACCGTTGTATTCGAGATGCGAAAAATCCATCACTTGACGGGTTCCGCTATATCCTTACAAACCCACCGAAGTATCTGGGCGTAGACCAGGCTGTTGATATCGTTTACTATCTGATTCCTCAATAAAAAATGTGAATCAACACAAGTGTGGTAAGAAGCAATAGCGATCCTCCGCTCTCCTTTAACAGCCTCCCTTGCACCACCCCAACAATATAACGACGAAAAGGAATATGTGATGTAGGAAATTGGAGTATTTGGGGGGGGGGGGGGTATATCAAAGCTTTAGAATAAAATGTTTTTTTATGTTGATGTTTTTTGGGTTTACATATCCTAATAGTGGCGGTGATCCTTCTGCGACTTTGTTCGTGTTCGCATTTTACACAGTACCACCTCACGCTCTTTCATACACCATACACCCGCAATGCAGTGAGTCTAACATCGCTTGGTCATACAATCTAACTCCCATTATGATCACCTTTTTCAGCGTGCAATTGGGGCCTGGTAAAGACCGACGAACATGGCAATCCTATCCTATTAAAGGAGAGGGGAGGGGAGGTGGAATTGAATGCCCTTCACTTTCCATCCTGGCAGAGCGGGACCGTCTTCGTTTCTAAACAGCAGTCCTCCAAGGAGGCCACTCGGAGCCAGGCCTGTCCGCGTCGCTTTCCGTGCGTGGGGCGGCGCACCCACGAGGACAAGACCCCCCCCCCTCCTTTTGGAGTTTATGAACGCCGCGGTCTTTACAATTCATTCGGGGTGCTTATCCACCCCAAAAGGTACCGACGCGCGGCAGGGTGGGGGATGCGGATTATAGGGTGGACTCCGGGCTTTCTACCGCGTGATAGGGCGCCTCTCGATGGGTACCGGTGAGAAGGACGCGTATGAGAGTCTCTTAAGATACACGTGAAAGCTAATCAGGGATGTTTAAAGGTATGTCCAACAAAAGAATCGGCAATGCAGGTATATTAAAGAAAAAAAAGTGACGATGACGCTGTGATAATTGTTCTTCAGCTTCGGTACTGTTGTTATAGACCCTCCACAACGCTTTCTTGAACTCAACCATCCTCTGAAGGTCTTCTCGAATCTCCAAAAGTCACTAAGCGCGTCATACATAAAACACAAACCACATAATAAAGTAAGTAATATCCCGTTTCAGCACATTGTATATTCAATCTCCACATTTTTTACCAGCGCATCAAGCCGTCTTGATGACCCTGCTACCAGGCCGACCGCAAAACAGTTCGATGTTTACGCTAGCCCTCTTTGCCAGCCTTTTGCTGATTCTCGGC